AGACCGCTGGCTGGACATTCTCAACCAATAAATCCTTGCGGAAATACCCAGCGCCTTCCGTTGTCCTTTCGGCGCATTACGGCAATCCGATGTACGACGCGCCAAGGAGCGCTTCATGTTTGTTAAGCGTCTTGCGATTTAAGAGTGCAGATAAAGCGGGACAATAACGAAACAGTGTACGTAATCGGCGTTGCGATGTGTTCGCTTTATTCGCTTCGCGTTCTGAACTCGCACTGGTAAGGGAGAAGGAACTGAGCCGCTTCCGGGATATGCGGAGCGCGTACGAGCCGGACCGTGCGTACATCGAAACGGCCCCACAATTCCCCGCTCCGCGCGGTGCATTGAGACCTTGTGGAATTTTTTCTGCAAAAAGGTTTATATTGCTCGTAAATGTAACAAACACACCTTGGTCACAGCGTGCTTATAAATGAGAGGTGGCCATACTTGTGACTATATAAATTTGCTTGATTTTCGTTTTTTGAGGGCAGGGGGGGTGTTGGCGGCACGGAGGCACCGTGAAGGTTGTCAACAGGGCGGTTGTGTCGTTTTTGCTGTAGGGTTTGTTGCTGATGTTCTTCCAGTAATTATTAACGTGGAGATAAAAATCGAAATGCGTTCAGACTTCTTGTAATACGGAATCAAAGCGCTGCTCTTACGGTATTTTGATTTTCCCCATATACCGGTCCTTTAAAGGGCCCCCGAAAAGAAAGAAAGATATACTTCTTTCTTTCTTTCGATCTCAACGAAATGGTCTTTAGCTATTTCTACCCCAACGTGAAGACGAAGCCGTTCCTCCTCCTCTCCCCGCGCCCGAAATGCCGAGAGAGAAAACAAGTGGAAAGGAGGTGACTGCCGTCTAAATCGCGTCTCGCACCGTCAATATTGCTCTAATCTTTTTTTTTGACTAACATTGTTTTTTTTACACGCGTGTCCAAACAAAGCTGTTAACAAAAAAGAAAACATTCGTTTTCTTTTTTTAGGGGCCCTTTAAGGAGCAGTCTTCTTCCAGTCTTTCATTGTTATGAAGGAAGGAAGGCATGATAGGAGATTTAAATTGGGTAGTTTGTTGGTTTTTGGACAAAGACGACAGAAAGAATAACACACGTAGGACAAAGGGACAACGGACACTTCTTTCAACTCGCAACAACATAAATACAGTGAATCCCTTATCGAAATATTTTTGAACCCATCCCTGACAAGATTCATAAAAAAAAAGAAAAAAAAAGCGAGCTAAGGATGCGATATCATGAATACAAAATAAACGAGAACAAAAAAAAAAAAAGATTTTGCGAGCACCACGTGGAAGTTACAAAAGCTTCGGCAAACTCTTTTCACCCCATTGTCATTCACGTGCAGTGGCTGTGCTCAGAGTTTCGAACAAACGAGAATTTTGGAAGGGCAGAATATAACAGGTTTGGCAGAGAAATTATAGGATCCTTCAGCACGAGCTCAGTTAATAATAATATTTAGGCGCCTTCAATCATTGTAACAAAGGATGAGATAGAATTTCTTACACCGGAGTTTGCATAATTAAATTTCATCATCCATCCGGTAGTGCAATTTTTCCGTCGCTCTTATTTTTTCTTTATCTCCGTTTATTTTGTATTTACGATATCGCTTCCTTCACTCGCTTTCTTTTTCTTCCCTTTTCATGATTCTTGGCAAGGGTGGGTTCAGAATTATTCTGCTAGGAGATTCACCGTATTCGCGTCGTTGCGAGTTGAAAGAAGAAGTGTCCGTCATCCCTTTGTCCTAACCGTGTTAATCTTTTTATCGTCATTGTCATGATAAGGCATTGGCGAGGAGAGTGGTATCTCGTGACGTTAATTTACATAATAGATTTAGGTTGGAGATTGAATGGTTGTGTAGGTGAAGTGAGGCCAGGTCAGGGGACGTCGATTACCCCTGCTGAATTTACCGGGAAAATTGCATTGATGTCTTGGTCATTAAACGTGAATATTTCCGCTAGGTTGAGCGAGTAGCCGAATCGGTCTATAGGTAACGTGAGGTCAATTTCCCGCTAAATTTAGCAGGGAAACTAAATTTATGTTTTGGCCACAAGACATGAAATTTTTCCCTAACTTTAGCGGGGAAAGTGAATTGACGTCACGTGCCGTCAATTTCCCGTGTACACGGCATTCCCGCCAAATTTAGCGGGGAAAATGAATTGGTGTAAAGGTCACGTGATGTCCATTTTTCGCTAAATTTGGCGGGGAAACTGAATTCGTGTATAGGTATTGTGGTATAAATTTCCCGCCTATTTTTGCGGGAAATCCGCAGTTACGCCGACGCCACTGTATAGGGGAATGGAGAGCTGCGCTCTAAGAAGAAAGGTACGTTCGTGAATAGAGTTTTTGAATATTGCTCCTTCCGTCCCGCATCGCCCTCCGCAACCCGCTACAAATTCCGGAACCTTACTAACTTCCCACTTCCTGTGTTGAATGGAGATAGTATGTCTTAGATTAGCGTTATGGGACTTTCTGAAGGCGTACACGTTTCAAGAGTCATCGCATGTTTTTTTTTTTTTTTGACAACCAATTCGAGCAATACTGCCAGCAGCGCATGAATACTGCGCCATATGTCATTTTTTTCTGGTCTCGCGCAGGAGAGAGGGTCGAAATAATTCGAAGAATTTACTAAAGAACGTTGTCGTTGAAGCCAACCCTGCCGTTGTCGTTGCCGTTGACGTTGTTAACGTCGATGTGAGTCCCCTTGCTTTTCCAGCAAAATTTTCTAACTTCATATTCTACGAAATTATCTAATCTTTCATGTAGTATTTTATAAGACTGAATAAGAGCCATGAAATAGAACCGATCTACACCTTATGCGCACTATTTATTTATTTGTTTTCTCAAAAGGATGTTGTACGTGTCCGAAAATGCATGGTTACAACTTATATTTTGAACCAAATAAGAAAACTGAAAAAAAAAAAAAAACACTCATCGCTTGTGCGCACTAACTCGAATCACCGCGGTGGCGCCAGTCTCGGCACTGCGCGTGCGCAGTGCCCGAGCCAGTGCGCTGTTTACAAATGCAGGCCTGTTTGTAAATGATAAAATCGAGTCAGTGTCACCACTTCAAAATATTAATGTTAAGCAAAATTCAGTTACAAAAAGTTACAAGCGGAAACAGCAATTATCACGAAAAAACTTGCACGCACCTTGCGAGCGTACCCCATGCACATCGGCGGTACAGCGTTCGGTGCGCGCTCCATTCACAAAATGTTCGAGCATAGTCGAGAAAATGGCGATGGGAAAAAAGAGTTTTTCGATTTACAAATGCCGTTAACCGTTAACCGAGGAATGGTGTCCCGATGACCGGGGGACTGTCGCATCCAAGCCCCTGGCTCGAATTAAGTTTGGAAGTTTAAAACAGAGAAGTAAGCGCGAACCAAGTTTGGGCAATGCATACACCTTACACCGGCGAAGTCACTCATCCGGGACTTTCACTCTTTCTAACGCACCAGCAAGGGGAAAAGCGCCGGAAAAGCGCTCTTTTGTCTAGCTCTTAAAATGGCGCTACCCCTGATAAAGTAGATGCAAACTACATTAAAACCAAAAAAGAAAACGGTACAAATCAAAACTGCTTGGATATTATACAAGAACTTTCGTTAGAGTTACGGAAGGTTCCATGAACTGAAATGTATCGACATAGCTCGTGCAGAACCAAGAGACTCGATGGCGATATTGATCGCAGCCTCTACATCTCCGAAGCCATCGAAGGTCAGAGCTCGTTCGAGTTTGCTAGCGAAAGCAACAACGAATTAAAACGTAAAAAAAAATATATATATATATATATTTCCTCCATCCGAAAACAGGAACCAGAAACATTTTCAAGACCACTCTCCTCTTTCTCTCGGGACTACACTGAAAGGAGAAGCAGGAACGAATGCACACTTGACAGACAAAAGGAAGCAGACGGGGCACGATCGAAAGCAAGGAAACAATTCCGGACTCTTCATTGTTCGAGAGCGTCGTTAGACAAGACAGAGAGTACGGTCGAGGGCAGCAACCTTCGGGAGATTTTTCTTTGTGCGTGTCTTTCTTCTGCCGCGTCTATACGTTGCGATATATCGGGAATTTGTTTTACGCCTTAGTCAAGTAGATGATAAACGAGAGTATGTTGAATATAAATATATAATATATATATAAAAAAAAGATTGCTATTCTAAGGCGCGTTTCACGGTCGAGACGACGATTTATCTACCAACATCTCTGAAGCCTTCCGGGTATGGAATGTACTTGGGCCGCTTTGCTTGTATAAAGAAAAAGAGTTCTCGGAGTTTCGACACGGCGTCCGAGTCTATACTTCGTCTCGCCGCAACTTGGCAAACGGTGGAGGCTACGACGCCAGTCAACCAATCAGCGCGTCGGAGGGAGACACGTGACTGAACTCTATAGGGTGTCACGTACATCGTCTCCGTCGCTCCAATTAGGGAGTTTTCGTGGACCGCGTTTCCCCCTCCGCTAAGCCCTCCGCGCCGATGGCCTTGGCTGTAGAGTTCCGGGTAACGTAGCGGGTTGCGGAGAGGGTTGTGGGTTGGCGAAAACGATCTACGAAGATTCCCTACTGGACCAAGGGGCCGTAGCCTTCGCTCTTTGCCAAGTGTTGTGGGCGGTACTTTCTCGAGACGGCGGCTAGCTTTGTTCGAGAAGTAATAACGTTTCGGTGGTTTGAATAAAACAACCTCTTGCGCACTTGTTTTTTATTATTATTATTATTTGGAATCGGCAACTTTGGAGTTCTCGACTCTCTTCCGAATTTTCGAAGGATATCTCGAGTATTTTCGCGCTTCAGCGAGTGTGTATGGTTTGGGGAGCGCGCGCGCGTAATGGCTATCAATGCGACTCTAACCGGTGTTTACGACTGCATCGCGGCAACGCGGGGCATTCTTTTGATGTTTAATGTTGAGGCCTTCGAAGTCTTTAGGGGTGTGTCTGTGCTCGTACGAGTGGTATCGCAGGGCTATGGCGCAAACATTTAGGAGAAAAGATGTCATAATGTGGAACAAACTCGCCTTTGTAAACTGCATCGCGAGTTCTATGGGCGGCGGAGTTCTCAAAGATAGTGAGTTTTACGATTCTTTTCCCCTCTCAGTTGAGTTACTATAGAGTCGGATACTCAAGCAATATATATATATATATATATATATATATATATATATATATATATATATATATATATATATAGAGAGAGAGAGAGAGAGAGAGAGAGAGAGAGAGAGAGACATAGAGAGAAGGATGATTACGACCACGTCAAACAAATTATCAGTTTGTAGGAACAGCCTCCATGGCTACTCTTCCTAAGCGATCGTTCGTTCGCCGTTTTCAAGTTCGGAGGGCGTTTTGCACTGGGAAGAAATGCCCGCGTGCGTCTAATTTCCCGCTAGGCACTTGAACAGTCGATCACTGCGATTCAGTGAGGATACTCTGCACAGAGATGGCAGTAATGACATTACTGTTATACAATTACAGTAATTAAATTACTTTTTGTGGTAATGAGTAATGCAATGAATTACTTCTCTAAGCTGGTAATTGAGTAATGTAATGAATTACTTTCAGGAAGTAGTTTCAAGACAATTACTTATTACTTTTTTTAAATTACTTTTGTTCCAAATTGGACCGTTCGTTTGCAAGCTTTAAAAAAAAGAAATAAGTTAATTTTAATGGTGAAATGCTGCGAAAGAGACATCAGAAAAAATAAAAAAAACGGCCAACTGAGCACAAAGGAGGATTGGAAAGGCGAAGGAGAAAAGCTTACGTGTAAAGACATCGCTGGAAGGCCACGGTTTACGAACTCCAGGCAAGACATTCACGGAGTTACGTTATAATGACGATACTGTACTTCGTGCATCCTATAAGCTGACAGTGCGGTGGGAGCTGCAAGCAAACCAGAACCGATGGGCGCGTTAAGTCCGTGCTCCGGAGCGCGGGAGTTTGGCGCTCCTTTCACTAAATGGACAGGAGTGCCACCGGAGACTGACACTCGAGCGCGCTCTTCAAGCACCGTGTCTTTCTCGGAGCACGAGTGACTTCTTCGCACTCCGTGACGTCACGTCCACAAACAAGATGGCTGCGCTGTTGTCGAGACCATTAGGACGAAAGGCATAGCCGGATCGCTGCCCTTTTCAGTTGATTAGTGCTTAATCCAGCAGGTAAAAACGATTTGATTTGAAAGCCAAGACAGCACTTAGCGTTCCGAAAAAGGTTTGTTCGTGTATCTCGCCTGAAAACGAATTCATATATCAAATGGTAGCGTGCCGATAGCAGAGCGACAGAAGGATTATTTAGATCAAGAGACATTCGGACCGCTACCCCTTTTATAATGCATAACCCAGTGAATAAAGATACTTCGATTAGAAAGCCGAAACATCAGTTAACGTTGCGGGAAAGGTTTGTTCGTGCGTCTTGCCTGAAAACGAATTGATCTATTGAACGGCAGCGTGCCAATAGCACAGCCACTGCGACAGAAAAGTTGAGATGAGAAGACAGTCAGACCGCTGGCCCTTTTTAGAACCCATCGAATCAAGGTACTTTGATTGGAAAGCAGAAACATACCACTTAGCGTTGCGGAAAATGTTTGTTCATGCATCTCGCCTGAAAACGAATTGACATGCTATCCATTGAACGATGGTGAGCCGGTATCGGCGTAGCTTCCCTCTGGCGCTGCAAGACAGAACCACGAAATATCTGACAAGTTTGAGGGTTTCCTGCGTCGACAAGCGGGAACAACAATGTTGTCTTTAATTTAAATCTGAACATCATGCATGGTCAATAAATAAATGAACCAAGGTAACTTTCCGCATACGTGCTCGAAGGCAGTCTTCAAACCTTTCAGGAATATTAAAACGTTCGTAGAAACTTCATAACGTCGTCGTTTCCTCTTTTACTTCACACCCTGCCGCTACACACAGGCCTAATCAATTTATCTTGGAAATAATTTCGGCTTCTGCCACCCGTATCCACGAGAGGCCGGGTTTGTCATAACCGTACGGTCGGAAGGAGCTCGTGGGGCTCGTTTATAGTTTCTGTGTGTCGCGCTCCTCCAGTACGCCATGTGCCGTTTAGTTGCTGCGCTCGGAGTATAGGAACTCAAAGCGTCGGAGTAGGAGTAAAAGAGCGCAGACCTACCGCGCCCAATCAAACACCTGCCTTGTATCACCTGACCAGTCCCTTTCCCTGCGCGTGGGTATGAATAAGGGCGTGGTTACGTGGCGAAAAATGACGTGTGATTGTTCCAACGAGCACGTAGCCTCCTCCGCACTGTCAGCTTAAGGATGAATGGCTTATAGGCTACAAGGCGAAAAACACATCACCCGTGAGGTCAACGCATTTTAAAACCTGAGAGGAAAGGACAAACAAACCCCCAGCCTTCTTGTACTTTTGTCAAGCAAGGTCGAACCGTAAGCTTCGACGATTGTGAACACGTTTTGAGCGTCCTCGAGCAAAGCAGGTGCACGCCGCTCGCGGTATGCCTCGCTGCCTTTGATTGGGAAGTTTATTCGGAAATATCCTATGAGCAGATATCGCTACCCGTTTGTTGGGAAAGTACACAATTTAGGAAGTTTGCGTCAGTCCTTTCCTCAATTGGCGACTCTAGTGCTTATGAATTATCGAGCCCCCTTGGGGTGACAAATACTTGGGGGGTGAAAAATACTTGGGCTCTTTGGGTGTTTGGGAACAATACTCTTTGAGAGGAATGACTGGGAATACGTCAACTAGTGCGTTTGGGAGGATAGGATCATGCTGCGTCTGAGGCGGAAGGTAGACGTTTCACGTGACGACTCTTTCTAAGAACGAGCTATCATGGCTTGGCTAAACAACTGACATGGACTATAACTTCTTCTAAATCAGGTAGAAGGAAGCATACCACCCTTTTAGTAAGTGACTTTACCGTTGAATGAACACCGAAACCGCTGAGTCGACTGTCTTTGAGTCACAATTAAAAAGGCCTTTCACCCAGTTTAATACTTATGTCATGTGCGCCAGGAAAACGACTGTTCAGCATGGTTCACTTGGAGGAGCATAAGGCTGTTGCGGTGTAAACAGGAAGGTCTGAGTTTTGATATAGATACGGGAAATAAAATGAGCACGGATTACTGCTTCAAGGTAATCAAAAGTAATGTGAAAGTAATTTCAACACTTTTGTTAAGAAATTGTAATGCAATGTCATTACTTTTAGTCTGGGGTAATTTGTGATGTAATTTAATTACGTTTTTGCTGTTTTCAGGAAAGTAAGTAATGTAATATAATTCCTTTTTTTTTAATTCTTGCCATCTCTGCTCTGCAGTCACGAAGCAATGAAAGTCGTGGTCTGACACGGATCATGGCTTTCCACATTCTCCCGGCAGGCTCAGTGTAGATGCTCAGACTTTTATAATCGTCGTCATTATCATCATCATGATCTCTTTATTTTTGTGCCCATGAACAACCATTTTCTCCCGTGTGGCACAACGTAATAGAATATGGAATGTGCCGAGAATGACACACCGCCACTTCTTCAACACCACGCAGTCCTTTATTCCTTCTTCTCGCTCGCACCGGGACCCAAAAGGCCTCGCGCATTCTTCGCGCCGGCCTTCTATGAAGGCCGGAGCGCCACTCGCGTAGCCTGCCGTGACCGATTGCACTTGGGTACCCCTCGCGGAGGAAATGGCCAGACGATTTAGCGTACGGGCAACCTGGTCCAATGCTTTGCATCTTTTCTTTCTTAATTTCTGGGCTAGGTGGCGCAAACTACCGCCCGATATAAATGGCACAGCCGTTAGGATCCATCCACCCATCTCCAGGTTGCCCACATGATACATGTACAAAAATTTGGAAGCAAACACTGACGTCTTTAAGAAACGCTGAGTGGCAATAAGATGCAGGGGACGTATATTCGCCACAAGACGAGTCCCCTGCATCTCATTATCGCTCAGCAACCAATGAGATTCCTGCATTCGGCGATAAGAACTCCCGGCAACGAATCACAGAGCGCGTTAAAATAAGAAGTGTTTTCTAAGCTGTCGGAGACTGCACACTAAGAAGTCTGAAGGGTCTCCCGGCCTCGTGCTCACGAATCCGGGGGAAGCTTTCAAAGCGACCTCATCAATCGGCTTGCGAAAGCATCGCGCTCCAATTTACCACAGAGGTACACCCGAAGGTGGTGCTAGGATTGCACCGAAATTTCAACGAACAAACTTACACAAATAGAAAGCAAAAAAGAAAAACGATAACCGATTTTTCTCTTATTTACGGCGCCCGTCTGGCATCGACGCACGCACCCTCTGAACGGTGCGTGGCGTATATAATCATTATGGCGTTTTAGGATGGCCTACCCAAAAGCTTTACGCACGCGAAGAAATATCGAAGTCGCCACCGCGCATGCGCCCAGCCCAACCCGCGTTTAAGATGACGCGAAGCAAATTGGCGCAATAATATTTTTGTTTTGCTTGGACGCAAAGCTTTTGGGTGCGCAATTCTAGAACTTGCTGCTAATTTTACGAATATAAGATCACCTTTATTTAGTTAATCAATTTAACAATTTTTTTTAATTACCCGTGTTTTTATGTATTGTATGAAAAAAAAAGGATGACTCACTCATATCTCAATCGCTGTGTGTGAACTATATATGCGCGTTTTGGAAGTGGTCACCCAACCAGCCCAATCGTCGTCAGTCTTAACAACGGCATTTCGCATTTTTTATAAGCATGATGGGCCATGCTAGTTATTGAGGTAAGCCAAGTGTTTGGGCACGCATTTTTTTTTAATCTATTCCTAAATTTGGAGAGACAATTGTTTCAGGTCGGTTTTTTTTTTTTTTTTTTTTTTTTTTGGTGTGGAAACTAATCCAGTACGATATATTAAACGGACCATTTATCGTTATATATATGGTTGCTGAAAACGTTTTCGTCCTTTCGTATGGTATTTTCTTGTGTTTAATTCTTTTAAGCGAACTTGCTGCCGGGAGAAGTTTCTTCGCCGCGTATTCGGTTAATGGAGCACACTTTTTCATTAGCTTTTTATGCATGTTTGCCTCTTACACGTGCCTGCAGACAGTTTTTGTATGATCAATGTGTCAGGTCC